GTATTTTCTATAGACGTTAAAGGCCATATATGCAGCCTTCTAATAACTGACAGAATCAGGCATATGTGTTATGCGTCCCAGCAGATGTTAACCAATACAAATGTAATGATAGTGTTAATACTATTTTTGTAACTGGTATAAATTGTTCATGTGAAAGAGACCATTTTGCATTTACATTAGTTAAACATATTTACCCATAAAATGATTGTAGAACTAGAAAGTGGCTACCCAAGCACCATTTTGGATGATGTAATAAGAAGCCAGAGTATAATCTTGTTCATTTAAAAATGGCTTATTAATTGAAAGCTTATGTTCCATTCACTACTTTTGCTCTATAGGATAGAGATGGACTTTTGACTTTGTTGTAAGGAGAGCTAAGATTCAGGTCCCCCAAATTAAGTCCATTATAACCAAAAAGCTTTGGCTCTATAGCTTTATGTGTATATATACGTAGAAATAAATCTGAAAATTAAAAAAAAAAGGTAAATTGGTTAAACCAACATCCTGTTCTGGAGCTTACTGAAATGAGTTTTTGAAATTATTTCATCTGTTAAATACTTGTATCATTTTTAAAGAAAACTTGACTATAGAAATAAATGGGGTATTTCTAAGTACACAGAATATAACTGGTTGTTTTTTGGGGGCCATATGACTTTGGAATTTGCTTTTGCAACATGATATTAAAGCTAAACTCTATTCTACTTAATCTTTTTATTATTTTATTTTATTTATTTATTTATTTTTTTACTTAATCTTTTTAGAAGAGCCATGTGGTTTCTTGCTGGTTAAGCTGGCGGGAGTAGAACTCACTGAAACTGGGAAGGTGTGGTTACAAAAAGAGCTAAAACCTTCCCAAGTACTATGGTTCCAACTTCTTGGAAAGGAGAATTCAGCACTCTTTTGCTACCTTTTAGTGAATAAGGTAAGTAGTGTGAAGAAATAACTAGTGATATTTTATTTTTATTATTTATACATAGATATGTCATTAGTTAGAACCTTGAATATATAATGGACTGAGGTTTTTTTGGTCTTTTTGAACTACTTATAGTGATTATGTATAGATGACCAGGTGTTTCACTTATAAATTTTGTTATAAAATTTTAGTTATGTATGTTTATAATAGAAAAAATAGAGAATTAAGAAAAAGAAAAAACTTCAAATTATTCATGACTCTGGACATTGCTAATTTAAGGTGTATCTGTTTTTTTTTGGTAGGGGGAGGTAATCCGGTTTATTTATTTATTATTGTTATTATTTCTTCAATGGCAGTACTGGGGACTGAACCTAGGACCTTGTGCATGCTAGGCACACACTCTACCACTAAGCTATACCCTCCCCCTAAGGAGTATCTTATACATTTATTTTTGCGTAAGTATAATATATCACACTTGTTATGAGAAACCACTCATTGAGTGAGACTTGTCAACTAGCATCTGCAAAGAGCAAGGGCGTTTTCTGAAGGTAAATATTGCTCAGTCTGGCCCAGTACCTCGTAGATTGGTAGGTCTTAACATATAAGTCTTTAAGTTCTGAAAGCAGTGAGCATATTTAATACTACTGGGCATACTTAAATTGAGCCTATTGAAGTCCTGTTTATGATCAGTAGTCAGCCATCTGAAGACTGCCTCAGCGTGTCCTCACTTTTGTGACCGGCCGTAGCCATTCTGTAACTGCGGGTGCTGCAGAACTCCACTGCTGCTGCCCTGTCACTGTCCTGAGTCCCTGGATGTGTCTTCCTCTAAATTGCTTTTTTTACTTTTTTAACTTTTTAAATGTAATTTAATTCTGTGCATGCCAAATGTACACATAGAATAAAGCTGGCTGAAGGACCTAGCCTCATACAACATGTACCAAACAGCATAGTTTATTAGTCTGTAATTCCTCCAAATTTCTTTTGGTGGACGATTACTGAAGAAAAGAATATGGAAAAATGAAATAGTTGAAATACGATTATGACAGGATTAAGAGCAGTTTTTCTTATTTTTAAAGTCCCCTGTTACATAACAAACAAGAAAGAAGAATCTGAAGAAAACAATAACCTCACATTAAAGTGATTAGAATCATAACCATTTTAATTATTAAAAGCTGCTTGACTTTCTAATAGAAAGTTTAATGAAATCCATTAATTTTTGCATGTCTAGATCATTTTCAGTTTTTTGAAAATAAGAATTATCCAATACTGATTGGTTGAAGCATCTTACACTGAAAACTAAGTTAATATACAATATTATGTAAAAGATCCCAAAGGCCTTGCAGAATATTAGCTTCTCTTTTCAGTTGAGAAGTCTATTTTATTTATCCTCAAAACCACCCTGTGAGATCATTTTATTCCCATTTGCAGGTAGGACTCAGGGTGACTGAGTGGAGGAACCAGTATTCAAGCCCAGGTCTTCCTGGCTCCTGAGTCCACACTTCATCTTCTCTGTCTTTACTTTATACTGTTTCCTGGAAGGTGACCAAATGTACTTTATGCGTTTAGTGGTAATTTACTTCTCCTGTTGAATTTTGCTGTTGTGTGAGGTCAATTTTAATTATTCTGATTTTGGTTCTGCCTATAAAATTTAAAAGATTGAGACAAATAATATAAACCGTTTAAGCTATATTTCTTACCTGATTATCATTATTTACCAAAAGTTCCTCCATTTCAAGGAACAAAAGTTTACTTTATTCCTTTGGATGGTCTTAGAAAATGTTTCCTACTTTTAACCTGGAGTTTTCATATTTAAAAAATTTAACTGTGAATTACTTGTCTATTGAAACTATGAAATTTTTAATACTTTGTTAAAATTAATCTTGTTAGGTAGAAAGACTGTGGAAATAGTTAGGCAGGATCCCCTTTACACTGTAAATTAGTGACAAAAAAATTCCATGTAGCTGGTTTCCTTGGGCAGTGAGGTGTTCCATGAAAGAAATTTACTGAAGGATGAAGATTCAGAGGCCAGGACTATTTTAATGTTAATTATTTTATGGGATTAAAAAAAATGTATTTACATGCCAGTGCCTTCCTAAACACTAGAATTCTGAACCTAATTTAACAGATCAATGATGATTCAGTTCATTTTACATTTGTCTGCTTTTTAGTTTCATTAGTTTTCTTTAGTTTCTTTTGCTGTGGACTCCTGTCATTTTGCCTATCTGGTGTACTCCATTCCCCCTCCAAACAACAACAGAAAAAACCCAGAACCCTTTTCATTGTTTATTGCTTCTACACATTTTGGGTTGGGAGATGTGAGCCTGTGGAGAACTACATGTTATGAAGGAGTGAATTGTCTTTGAACAGCGGTCTCTTCTAGTAATGAAATTCTTGGATTTAGCTTTGTCTGTTTTAAGCTCTTAAGGACCCCTTTGCTTTACATTTTTGACTTTTCTCTGGAGAGCTCAAGTTGCAGAATGATTTTAAAGTAAGAAGCATATTATGGGTAGCCTAGTAATTTTTAAAAATAATTGGTTTGTGTTATTTTTTATTCAAGGGTAGATATTTTAGTGTGAGTCTGAATGAAGAAATTTTGAGAAGAGGCCTTGGCAAGACTGTTCTTGTTAACGGGCTAAATTATGATTCTAAAATCTATTGGAGAATTCACAGAAACTTACTTAAAGCTGAATTAACAGCTGTAAAAAAAGGAGAAGGAATATGGAAGGAAGAATCTGAAAAAGAAAGTTATTTTGAAAAATTCAAAGGCTCCTGGAGAGAAATATGGAAAAAAGACAGTTACTTAAAAAAAACTGGATCAGATTTCAACTTGAAGAAAGAAAGTTATTATGACAAGTTGAGAAGGACTTATGAAACGTGGAAGGAGAACATGAATAACTACTCCTTAATACTGACGTTCCGAGAACTCATGAGTCGCATACACTTCCGTAGAAAAGGGTGAAGTAGTCCAAGAGGTCTGGTGGTGACCTGCTTCAAAAAGAATAAAATATGTAAATATGATGGATATTTCTCATCGAGTTGAAGTGGAAGTTTCCCCAAATGATCAAAGTTGCATTCCAATGGTATTTAAATATTTAAGAGACGATTCTTATCAATGTAATATCAGAATAATTTAAACAAATTGTGATTCATGTACTGTGCTTTTAGGAAAAATGAAACACCCTAAAAAAGTTATCCAGTTGAAGGAGGTACACATGTACTAACAATATATGAAGAGAGAGTTTAACTATTGGTCATTGTGTTATTTTAGTCATTTTGGGCAGCCGTATTTAACTTTCGTTTAAAGAGAATATTTGTTGATTTTTCCAGTTTTGACAACTTTGATTGCTTATGATAAAGGAACTCTTAAGCATTACGTCTGAGGCTGCTCTCTTCTCTCAGCTGCTTTCTAACTGCCTGTGAATTCATTCAGGGCAGAGCTACAAGAGACGATCAGTTGGGCCATTTCTAGTAATGAAGAGTGGCTTATTTCTACCTGTTGTCAGTTGAGGGCGATAATCCTGAAGACAGAATCGTGAATGTGCCGAGGATGGTAGTACAGAGGATAGAAAGAATAGGGATGCTTTCTGACAATGTCGAGCCCCTGAGATAGCCAATCCTTGAACTGTCTTGCCTCCAGTTTCTCATTATGAGACATAGTAAATTAATTTTTAAAGCCGGCTTCAGTTGGCTTGAGGATTTGACCTACACATATACTTGCTGCTGGAATCATCCTGACAGTATAAGCTTTTTTCACAACATCAACAATAATCCACCCACAATGTCTATAGACGTTTTCCTTAGTGGTTTGTGATGCTGACCAAAGTCAGAGGTATCATCTGGTCCAAAGAGTTGACTCCTGTCAGAATCAGTAATACAAAATGAGAAGTTTACTGCTGTTGCCTGACTCCTGATGAAAACATACCAAAGTAGACTTCCCAGCATTTTCTAATTAAACAACATTAATTTTTAGTTTGGTCTCAAATCTTCCAAAGATTCTTTTTTTTGTGTGTGATTTTATTTCATCATCTTTGGGGTAGGATAGGAAGTTGTATGCCAGTTTTTACTCCCTGGGTCTAATGCCTCGACAGCTTTTTGTTTTGTCTTGAAGGGATGTTTCATTTTTATTTACAGAGATGTTAACAAGATTTTTATTTATAGAGATGTTAAACTAGTTTTGTGGCAAGCTCTGGAGCTTTATTTTCTTTTCCAGTTTGCCTCCGGGTGATGTCAGATCTCATCACAGTTATCACGGTAATTAGTTCTGATGACCTCTACCAGTCCAGCCAGTGCACTATTGTCCTTCCAGTTAAGCATGTGAAGGTGGGGCTGTGCAGGTCTTTCTGGTCAAAGACCTGGTCTAATTTTTCCCTTGAAGATACAGTAGGGAGCCCTGATTAGATCCACTTGTTTGATGGTCCAAGGGCGAGGTGAACTGGACAGTTGCAGAGAGGCTACAACTTTGTCATTGGAGATAGTTCTAATAGGGCCATCTGAAAAAGTGGAAAAGTCCTTTTAGGCTGAATTTATGACCAAAGCCCAGGTTCTTTACCTTTTTCAAGTAGAGGATTTACTACTTCTTGGTTTGTTGTCTTCAAAACAATAGGGTCCATGACCACCTTTACTCCTTAGCCTTCTTTCCTTTTGGTATCTTAGGTATTTAGACACCTTTACTTTTTAAATATATTTCTATCAAATAATTTTAGTTCTTACTCTATTTCTAAAGGATTGGATTTTCATGATCCTTTTCAATCTATATTCTCTTAGATCCACATTTCCTTTAGGGGGTTTTATTTATTTTTCATTTTTCAGTCATACTTCTTGACAGTAGTAGCAGCCTTATCATAATTAATGGTGAACAAAACTTGGAAGAAGAGTGAAAACCATGCCCATAGTTTCGGCACTGTCATCATTGGCACTAAAAGTGTATTTAGAAGTGTAACAGACAACCAAGGGCTGCTTACATTTTGCTGTCTGATTGTTGTGTTGATGTTTCTCTTAGTTCTGTCCGTGAGACAGATGAGCAGATACTATCTCTGCTGTAGCACACTTGGTCACAGTTACTGTTCAATGAGGGGTCCACAGAGGCTCCCTATCATACTCCCCAGGCGTGGGAGATTCTTAGCTCTTTCTCTCCCCACCTGCTTGACTCCCACAGCAGCCTGGCCTACAGCCATTGACTGCTGGATGCTCACCATCTGGGATGGGAAGGACACATGAGTTTGCTTGTGCATGGTGACTGGGCTGAATTACTCCATGCATGGTGTGTGTGGGTGTATTCGCAAGTCTGGTTCAGCCCTCCCACTTTCTATGTTAGTCCAGCCTATAGGGAACTCTTGTAGTCACCAAATAAGCACCAGGCACTTCCTCCCTTGCTTCCCTCTTTTTATCATATTTCTTTCTCCTTGTTCAGGAAAATGAGGTCCTGGCAGGTCCAGTAGCTTAGCAAATGTTAGCAAAGAGGTAATCACTATTTCCCAACTTAATGGAAACAGGATATATGGCACCTTCAGTCCTGTAGAAAGGGGAGTGGGGCGCTAATGTCAAATCCTTCTCTCCTGTGTGAATAGGAGAGGGAAGGGATGGTTGCTGCTTGACAAACTCACTGTCCAGTTCCTTACTCCAAAACCTCTTCTCTCTCTTGGTTGTGTTGCAGGAAAATGGGGCATTAGAGGATGGTCATGCCCCAGGTCTCGGGTAAGTCCCTGAGATGTGCCCCGCCAAGTAACTGTCCTTGGCTTCATGCAGGAAGGAATTTGAGAGCCACCACAGTAAAGTGAAAGTAGGTTTATTCAGGGAGATACATTCTCCACAGACACAGTGCAGGCCATTTCAGATGGCAAGAGAGGAGGTGGGAGATGGAGTTGTCTTGAAACGTGAGAGTGGCCTAGGAGATACACATTCCACAGGCAGAAAACAGGCCATCTGGAAAATGAGAGACCCAGGGTGTGGGGGTGGTTAGTTTTTATGGGCTTGTTAATTTCATATGCTGACAAGTGGGAGGATTATTCCAATTATTTTGGGGAGGGGGTTGGGTCCCCTCACCCACTTTTTGGCCTTTTATAGTCAGCCTCAGAACTGTCATGGTGCCTGTGGGTATGTCATTTAGCATGTTAATGTATTACAGTGAGTGTATAATGAGGCTCAATGTCCACTGGAAGTCATATTCTCTGCCATCTTGGGCCTGGTTGGTTCTAACCAGTTTATGTCATACCCTCAATTGCTGTGTCATTCTTATAATGTTTGTGCCCTGCCCTCTGCCCTCCTGTCTCAGTCATGGAACTTTCTAAATGGGCTTGACCTTTCCTGCCACTGGGAAAACCCTGGGGAATCTGCTGCTTGAAATGCTATCTTTTAAAAACTTGACTCAAATAAAAATTAGGGCCATCGATCCCAATAGTTCTGCTATTATTCATCTCTGGTAACTCCGAGTGTACTAAAGATTCCGATCAGCATCTCATCCCAATCTGGTACACTTGCAAAACCTGCTTTAGGAGAGTTAACTGCATCTGAAACAGGCAGGTTATGGTGTGCCAAGACTTGTATCTTCTGGATTTCTCCAGCATCCTCTGATTCTTCACCAAAGTGAAGTTTGCATCTTTTAAATAAGTCCCTCCCTGGAGTAATTCCATGTGCTGTCAAGGGGCATGTTGTTGACAGTGTCCTAAATCCAATGGTTGTGTATGGCATTTGTTTGAAGACAGTAACTTTACTTATAGGGACAGCGTAGTCAAGAAGCCAAGGAACAGCAGCATTTCAGAAGTTCAGGGCACCAACAGAATCATTATTGTTCAGGCCATCATTAAAAGAATGGCAGACATACTAAGGAGAAGCAGGTGCTCCTGGAATAGCCGAGGTGGAGATGGTTCTCCAGCTCTTTTTTGTGGTATGAGGAGGGAAAAGTTTTCCTCGACCCTCTGAGGGTTCCTGGCTGGGTTTGAAAAGTAAACTGATGAAGATTAACAGCAGAAAAGTGCACAAATTTATTAAATATAAGTTTTATATGACATGAGAGCCTTCATAAGGAAATAAAGACCCAAAGAAATAGCTAGACCTGAGTACTTTATGGTAGGTTTGATGAAGAGGGCACAGTCTTGAGGAATGTGATAGGGAAAGGCATATGAAATCATTGTAGTGAACCAGGGGAAATTTTGCAAGTCCTGTTTGTTAGGATTCCTGTTAGCATCCGTTTGTCTTTGGAGATAAAGATGCTTTTTTCCTCCAGCTACAGGGAGGGCACATCTTATGTAAGGATTTTATGGTCTGTTTCAGGGAAGAGGGGCAACGGAAGGAGGAGATCATAGTGAACTTCTGCCTCTGTTTTCTCAAACTCCTTCAGCTTAAAATATTCTGTATGCTAAGGTACCACATTTTGGGGTAACATGTCCTGAACCCTACCAGTGGTTTGGAACTTCTCTAATGCCATTACTAAGGCAGATGTTCAATGAAGGCAAATCACAGGAAGAAAGTAATGCCAATTTATGAAAAGATGACAACTAAAAAACCCAGGATTAAAAATTAAAATATTAACAGAACTTTAAAAGTAAAATAGTAAAACTTAAAAATGAACCAACTATATCACTCATTTAACTTCCATTCAAATAATGTCCAAATATCAAAAAAAGTTGAAATAGAAAAAAATGGTAACAAAGATAGGCAAACATACAGTGAAAAAGAGTGTGACAATGAATATATGTATGTTCATGTATAACTGAAAAATAGTGCTCTACACTGGAAATTGATACAACATTGTAAACTGACTAAAACTCAATTTTAAAAATGTAAAAAAAAAAGATGGTAAACAATGTGTCAATAATGCCATTAATTAGCTAGATATTTTGAATTTTTGCAAACTACGATGAAGAGTTTGAGATACTGATGATTCTAGGGTTCAGTATTCCTTGGGAGAAAAGGTGGGGTTCATCTAGGAAGTAAGTCCATGCCCTAGTTTAGGATCTCTGAGTGATATAAATTCCTTTTGCTCAGGTCCAGAGGTAGTTCCATATGATCTGGAAGCCTAAGGCCAAAATGTCAGTGCACCCGAGAAAGAATGTGGAGGGAAAATCTGATGTCAGTATGTCTCATGGTCCTTGACAGGGTTAGTGATGACTCCTGGCAGTGTGTGAATTTCTGAGTCAATCTGGGTGCCCAGTTCTGCTCTCTGGAAGACTGCTCATATCTTCCATAGCTTCTCCACAAGTAGGCATTGGGAGGTTCCACCCTTTGAGGGCTGGACAACTTTAGAAACCCCTCTTTGTTGATGTGGGTTCATGGCTAAAGGGTTGAGCAATCACAGACCCTTTTTTCTTTTTTTCAACTCACCTTCACTTTACTACACCTTGCTCTTGAGTTCTTTCCTGCAAGAACCTATTCTCCAGCAACATTACTGCTTTGCCTCTTTTTCACTTTTACAGGATACATTGGAGCAGTTTTTCACCTGCAGACCGTGAACTATTAGTGAGATGTGAAACCAATGTAATGCGTTGCCACCAGTAGTTAGAAAAGATAAAGAAAAAAGAACAGAACAGAAACTATCAGTGCACTGCATATAGCAAAGATAAGTGTTGTTTTGTTAATTTTTTTTGTTATTGTTGTTGTTACAAGTATATTTGAATGTGTATACTGGCTTGGAGTGCAAAAAGATAAGGGTTACTGAAAGTCAGTACGGAAGATCACATTCTCTAGCACACTCTTTTGAAGAAGCCTGATCAATAATAGATTTTTATAACTTAAGTTAGGACAGCAAGGAATTCAGAAATGGAGTTTTAAAAAATTGAGGTACTGGGATTTTTCTATTTTCTGTTTTGGTTATCAAAGCACAGCTTGGAGAGACTTCATCAAGGAAATTGAGGAATTAGCGCCCTCTTCTGTTTTTCTACAACACTGTACACGTACCTGTTTTAGCACTTGATACATTTTGTGTAGAAGGGCTACCTGTCTTCTCTCTCGTCCAAGCTACAGTGGGTCCTGTTACTCAAAC